GTAAAGCCCATGGCACATAGAAAAACGTAAGGCCATAACGTAATCAGTAAGCGAATTGACCAATCACAGTTGAGAACGTAAGCGGCGGCTTCTTACGTTCTCAACTGTGATTGGTCAATTAGCTTACTAATTACGTTTACGGCCTTACGTTTTTCTATGTGCCATGGGCTTATGCCCGTATTCAGAACGTGCTAATAGCGCGCTAACATGCTATAGTTTACGTCACGTATACTATAGAATTTCAGAGATAAAAGCGCTCTTTTATCGACAAAAGTGCGTTCTAAATACGGGCTTTAATGTTTACACATGGTGTAAAGAATATAAAGCCCATTCTACATTGGTCGTATCGTAAACGTCGCAGGTCACAAATTTGTTGCAACAGCCAATCCGTGTGTCAATTAGAAGTCTCACGACGCTTACTATGCTACGATACGACCAATGTAGAATGGGCTTAAGGGAAATGCGATTGAATAATTTTCTTTATGCATGCGTTTATGCAGCTATGCAAGTTTGTGTGAATATAGCTTAAAGCCTAACGCACAATAGAGCATGAGCATAACATAAAACTGTTGGACCAATAAGCATCCAGCATAAAGTTGCCATATTGATTAACATAAGATGCTCATTGGTCCAATGGTCTTATGTTATGCACTCTTAAGGTTGATTTATACTGGCCGTAAACTGTTAACTTATGCCGTAATCTGTAAAAATTGACCAATCACAGTCGAATGAGAGGGGAATAATCGATTATAATTGGTCAATTTTTACAGATTACAGCATAAGTTAACAGATTACGGCCAGTATAATCCAACCTTTATGCATTTCATGTGCGATAGGCTTAACTGGTGTAGTTGTAAAGCGGGAAACACAGACTCTTGTATAAAGCAAATCACATAAGGCATAAAAAATTCAACCAATCAGAGTTCTTTATTACATAGCAAGGAAGGAAACGAAGAACTTTGATTGGTACATTTTCTTATGCATTGTGTATTATGCGTTATGCAAGAGTCTGTGCTCCCCGTCTAAGAATTAACCAATCACAGTTCTCCTCATATTTGACTGTGATTGGTTAATTCTTACAATTACAACCAGTTAAAATTACGCTTACGCAATTGTAGAATGGGCTTAAGGTAAAGTATTCCAGTGGATGCGCAGTCGTCTAAAAGTAGTAGGGAGCAGTAAGCCAATCAGATCTGGCCCAAAGTGCAAAATTCAATATGGCCTACAATACATATGTAGAGTGCCAGTAGTGTAATACGATTTTTTTAAATACAGGTTTGAAAAGTAGAAATTTCAACGATTATGACATTTATATAAAGATTATTAATGTAATGACATTATTATAAACAGTTCATTTTTTTCAAACAATTTACCATGCCACACTGTTTCGTACTAAACTGTAAAAATCGTACCGGTTATACATTTAGCAAAAATGTTAGGTATTATTCATTTCCTCGAAATCCTAAGTTACGGTCGGAATGGTTGACAGCGTGTCAAAAAGACGAAAATCGTAAGATTACACATGGTAAATGAATCATACATTACATTTAAAAAACAAATATTAAAATATAATACATATCTTACAATTAGTAACTACTTTTTGTTACAATAATTTTTATAAATATTACTTTTAGAAAGAATATGTGAGATACATTTTTCATCAGATTGTTTCGAGCACAAAATGACCAAACCACGTTCCACACATGTTGCATCAAAAGTTGCATATAAACTAAAAATAGGATCAGTACCAACAGAATTTCTGGACTTACCTAGTAAAAGACAAAAGCTGTTACATTTTTCAGAAAAAAGAAATGATCAGGAAGCAGGATCTTTAAAGAAATCCATTTGGTGAGACTGATAAATTCTGCATATAATGTTCCTTATAACTGTGACACAAGTATTGACAAGTAAATGATCTGTTTTTTTTAGTTGAATTTCTTGTATAATTCATCTTTTCTCTTTTTGTCTTTCTAATATGAAAAGAAAAAGATGAAAGATAAATCATGCAAGAAGTTCAGCTAAAAAAAATAGGCCTATAATCATACAATGAATGCATTAGTCATACGATGTAAATTATAGCCAAACTATTATCATGTTTACAGTAGCGGAATACCAACGTACTCAGAACTTGTTGGTAGTACAGAAAGTAATTTTGAAGAAAACACTACCCTGCAATCTATCGATGATATGGAATCAACTACTATTACGGAGCGCTGATAAATGCAAGTGTAGTAGAAGATACTACAAATGTAAGTGTAGTAGAAGATACTACAAATACAAGTGTAACAGAAGGAAATGCATCGATGGAAAACATTGATTCTGAAAAACCATTTACCACTTTAAAGCAAGTGCTAAATGAAAATAAGGAGCAACTTATTCAGACTAATCTGCAATTGTAAACTAAGTTGCAAGAAAAATGTAATATAATAATCGAAACAATGCAGAAAAACATGAAAAAATGTGGAAACAAAATTGCAGCCGATATCCTGAAAAATGTGTTTACACCTGGACAAGTGAAAAGATTTATGTCCCAAAAAGGTAAAGTGGACAATTGATGACAATTGATGATATTACATCAGCAATTGCCTTGCAATGTATAAGTACAAGAGCATATAAATACTGTCGTGAAGTTTTAAAAATTCCTCTTCCATGTAAGTCTACTCTACAAAAATGGGTCACTGATTTTTAAATTAATCCTGGAATTCTTAGGGTTGGATTATACTAGCCGTAATCTGTTAACTTATGCTGTAATCTGTAAAAATTGACCAATTATAATCGATTATTCCCCTCTCATTCGACTGTGATTGGTCAATTTTTACAGATTACGGCATAAGTTAACAGTTTACGGCCAGTATAAATCAACCTTTATTCTTTCTTATTCTTATCTTCTTGAACAAATCTTTTTTGGAAGAGTTTCTTCTATTGAATAACAATGATTTGAAAATTGCATTTTATAATTTGACCAAAGCTCATCTAAATGTGAAAGGTTTTTAACGGCAACGTGTACAATTAGCAGCTCAAATATTTTCCATGAGAAACACAAAGGTATTGGAATATTGTGGAAAAAAGGGATTTCTAAAAAACAACAATTGGTAGGCAATGTCTAATATGTTGAAAACTATAAATAATTGGTTTGATATGCTCAATAGTCAAATCAAATTTGGTAAGCATAGTGGTTTACATGCTTACCGAATTGACCTAGATAATCAAAATAAAATTATCGAAGAAATGAGCGATTTTATTTTAAAAGTAAAAATAGCCAATAAATCATACCTTATGCTATTCCAGAAAGGAATATTATTGACAAATATTTCATTGCAATAATTGCTTCCTTACCTATAAAGGAAAAATACTCTACTGAAACAGCTCTTTTGAACCACAGTATATTATAGCCAGATATCTATGTCAAGATGTGTTAGAAAATTTTTTTCTCCTACATTAGAGCCATGGGAGCTGCTCTGACTGCTCATACTCATTCATCGCCCGTTGAATTTAAAAATCGACTGAAATGGTATATATTCGGTAAACACACATTCGGCTACAATAACATCATAACAATTGTTACGCGCAGCACGTTTTTAATTTTAAGTAACGGGCATCATGTTTTTAATTTTAAGCAATTTTTTGTAATATTTCTATTGTAAATATGTTAACATTTTAATATTATTTTAAATGTAATTTACTTCTGACTCTTACTTCGCCCTTTTAATTTTTGTTGAATATTGTTATATTAAGAGTCCTTGAATATTTCCATCAAAATTAATGGCATTATTTTACCTTGATTTATTTAATGTATAGATTAGACGTTATATTAATTAGGAATTACGCGATCGACGTAATCTATAATTTTTTCAGCTCCAATTTGTTTTCCACGTGATTATCTACCATTAATAGAAAAAATAACTTCTGCATATCACTTAGAGATATGCCTTCGACTTCATTTTCACTATCGCTCGAGTCGGAACTGTCATCGGAAGTTTCATCATTTTTCTTTAAAAGTATTAAAGAAGAAATTACAATTATTGGTAATTGTTTATTGACGTCTTGTATAGCGTCCATCTTGAACTCGCATAGAATGCATAGGAAATCGTTCCGAGTAAAGCGGGGACCACAGACTTTTGCAGAACGCATAAAGCATGTGCATAAGGAATTTCATTGGTCCATTTTCTTATGCATGAGTCAGTGGACCAATCAAATTCTTTATGTATATGGTTTATGCGTTATGCAAAAGTCTGTGCTCCCCGCTTAACTAAAGCGCTTCATGCGCATTGACTAAACAGTAAACGGAACGATTTTAAAGCGTAGCGGGGAGCACAGACTTTTGCATAACGCATAAACCATATACGTAAAGAATTTGATTGGTCCATTGACTCATGCATAAGAAAATGGGACAATGAAATTCCTTATGCACATGCTTTATGCGTTATGCAAAAATGTGTGTTGGGGCTCTAAAGGTACAATTTCATGCTGACGCTTGACGCTTATTTTTAGCGTCAAAACAGATCACGTGATCAAAATTGATGCTTGAAGATGCTTTTTCATGCGCAGCACGCTGCAGCAGCAATTCGTTACTATTGGTTAAGAATTTTATGTAAGCTAGACGACGCACTTCCGGCGCAAAATACATTTGGCCGCAGTTCGTTGAAGTTGAACCGAACGAACAGCAAACAGCAAGCGGCAAAATCGAGAAAGCGTACAATATGTCCGTCATGTCCGTACAATATGTCCGGACATATTGTACGCTTTCTCGATTTTGCCGCTTGCTGTTTGCTGTTCGTTCGGTTCAACTTCAACGAACTGCGGCAAAATGTATTTTGCGCCGGAAGTGCGTCGTCTAGCTTACATAAAATTCTTAACCAATAGTAACGAATTGCTGCTACAGCGTACTGCGCATGAAAAAGCACCTAAAAAATTTCGGGATATTCCATTTTTTAATGTGGCAACACTGAGCCCATCTTTTTCATGGCCGCCCGCTTGAGCTTGATCTTCTTCTTATTACTCCGTGGTTGAGACGTTGATTTTTACGCTTTTTTAGTGACAGACATTACAAATTAAGACTATCCTTTCACCTTTATATATTCGCATATTATATCAGTCGATTGTTAGAACAATACTGAACTGTACAATCAGAAAATGAATAGCTATAATAATGAGTTTCTTTACTGTCCTTACAACAAGTGTCATCGTATAAGCAGTTCAAAATTTCAGCGACATCTTGTAAAATGCGAAAAGGTGACAATATAATTTTATTCCATAATCCGAGAATTTTGAGAAATATCATATATGAACGAACGTGAAATTTTCTTATAGAATTATCCCCCTGATTACAAGGTTATCTGTCCGTACAATGCAACTCATCGTTTGAGTAAGAGTGAGATTGAAGAACATATCAATACATGTCCTATGAGAAAAACTGTTGAAGCAAGTTATATCCAGTGTAAGTGTACATAAAGTTTTTCTAATTTTTTTTTTATTTCTGACAAAATTGTAGCATTTGTTATAAGACTCCTTGCATATTTATATACATACAGAATCTTTTCTATGTAGATATAAAATGCTAATAATCATAATATAATTCAATTTTATGTAGTGCCAAGAACAACTCAAAGGGTGGTAAGAGCAGAACAAGATGATTCTAAAAATCAAATTGATTATAATAGCTATTGGGGAAGTCAAGAAGAAATGTAAGCATGAAAAGATCCTATAAGCTCCATTATAATCATTAAATTCATGAATCGGAGGGCAAATATGGAACATTCTGTTAGGACGTCAATCAATACATGTTGAAATAAATATCTAGTTACAATGTATCTAGCTTGATCTTGGTAACAAATCATATAAGACAGAATCTAGAACATGATTATACAAACGCAGTGATTACAAAGGAAAAATTAAAAAAAGAATGAAAACCTTAAAACCTTTTTTATTTCTCAAGATAAAAAAATTATAAAAATATTTTTTTTTTATTGATAAATCATAGGTTTAATGTTTCGCTCAAATGCTTTTATTTGAATAAATTTTGTTTATTTTTATACTTTACATCAATTCCAGTATTTACATGTATTATTTGAAGTGAATTTTTTATGAATAAAGACATTGTTTAGTGCATATATGTATATGCATATGCATATACATACATATACATACATACATACACAAATATGCAAATGTATATACATACACATATCCAAATATATACATATAAAAACAATATCAAACTTCACAATTAGACTATTTATTTTTGAATCTATATATACAAATAGCATGTATCATATTTTACTACATTATTAAATACTTCAACTGTATATATGAATTATCTCCGTCTTTAATTATTTTACAAAGTATACCAAAAAGACTGCTATCTAATATAGTTCTGAGTTATTGAATACTCTCAAAATTCCTAAATTTTATGTCAAGTCTTTTGTCTTCCTACAATTAATACGTTGCACAAAAGTATGACAAGTAATATATAACTTTTATCACTGAACAGTTTTTACTTTTTTTAGTTCTTCAAACATTAGGACTAATAATGATTTTTATATTCAGATTATGTAGTATCAAACTTTTGTAGGTGGATAATCAAATCATGATTTGTTTAATTAATACTATGATTTATATAAATTTATATTTACATTTCATGACAGAACATGTTTTAATGTTATCGTAATGTTATCAGTATTTGGCATTATTAAAGTAAAAATATGATGATCGTCAAAATAAATGTGACACTGGATATAAATGCAATTATTACTTTTAAAAAGTAAGATTACGAATCAATTATGAGTCAAAAGATGCATATTAAATTTTTAATTCAATGCAGTAAAATTCAAACGCTGAGTTCTGTAAATGTTGTAATTTCTTTGGAATGTTATATATACATATATATATATATTGCATAAAATAAACAAATAAAATAATGATTAATGAATGATAAAGAAATAATTTGATATAGAGAAAAGATAAATGTATGTATCAGTATGTATATACTTACAACTTAATCACATACATACATATATGCATTATTTTGTTAATAAAAAGTAGTAAATAGAAATGTCCTTAGTGTGCATATATGTATATAATAAAGTTATAAGATAGTTAGGTCACATAATAAAAATATTCGAGTCTTACTATATTCAAAGTAAAATAACATTTATATTAAAAGCAAAGTGTGTAACTCAAAATGTTGCAAACTAGTACACACACATGATGTAGCATTTATATATCTATAAAAAAATTTACATTTTTATCTTTACAAAATAAAGCGAAAAATAACATATGAATTATCACATGTATAAATCGTGATGTTTTTGCATTTTTAGCAAAAGGATGCAAAAAATAATCCACGAATTTGACTACTATAAACGATTTTCATATTTTTAACTATTGTTCCGAGGATTGACAAATAATTATATATTATAATTTTATATGTAATATCTTTAAATAGTACTGTTGAAATTGTTGAATTATAAATCTTATGCACATGTATACTTCTTGTCAATAATAATTTTATTTGTAAATGTCGAGTTCGTGGAAGTATATAGTAATTATTTATATTACTAGTTTTATATTATTTAACATTATTATATTTTTGCGGGATATGCTTCAAACTTACCCGCTGCCACATACATCGAAAGACGTAAAAAGTAATGTTGCTTATTCATGAATAATGTGAATTTGGATACTGACATGTAGCCAGTAATTATGTACAACTTTCTAAAGTATGTTTGGAGCAATATATTGGCAGTTTGCTAGCTGCAGTCTGAGTTATTGTATAAAAAACTGTAAATTTATTGAGCGCAATTGTTGCACAATAGAGCGAGATCATTGCACTATATTTCTCAACTGCACTGGATCGATGCATTTGCCTAATAGAATGTATCGTGCAATATTGACAATTACGTTAGATTGTATGTTAATCTTTCTCCCCCCTCCCTCTCTGCCTTCTCCATCCCCCCCTCTCTCTTTTTTTCTCTATGTTGAATGCTATATTTTTTTCTTTACTCCTATATTTCTACTTGCAGAATCCTTATCACATTAGCACCATTTATATATTCGTCGATCTTTTCTTTTGTTGCTTCCATACAGATATCCTTTCTTTTAAGTCAAGCACTGCAATATCAATAATAGTCATCAGTTTAATACATTTCTATAAAATATTTCATACACTTTGTAAAAATATATATTAGGACATATGTATGAATATATAGATACAATCTTTTGGCAATTCCTACATTTTAAAGTTAAAATATAAGAAAATATTAATTTCAGTGTAAAAAATATTTCAAATAAAGAACTACACAATTGTGATATATGCACCAATATTAGCAGAATGTATTATATATAAAAATACGTTACTATGAAATACTGCTATTATTTATTAGACGTATTTGGGCAAAGAAAACCTCCTTTTACGAATAAAAGAAAAATGTGAACGGTGCACTCTTACTTGGTGTGAGCATGTCTTCGCTAAGTGGTTGCCGACTGAAAGGATCCGTAGCACTATTCAGTAAATGTCTTATGATGACTGCTTTGTCCATAACAATACCAGATGGTAGTTTAACTGGATCTTCCATCAGAGTATCCATCAATGGATCTCGGAATTCCTCGGGAGCGTCACCATAGTCTGCGTCACGCGCGCGATTATCTCTCGCGATTATCGCCGCACGTTCCGCAAGAGCTATAAATCTTTCAATTTCCGTGGTAGTTTTGATCGCAGATCTTTCTAGCCTGCTTGCAGCGTCCGTGAATAATTCCTTACAGAACGAACGCTGGAAAAGGAAATATACAATTTTCTCTTATTAATTTTATTAAATATCTATATATTTAATAAATTGTATGAATGGAAAGACACTAACTTCGTCACTGGCTAAAGCGGCCGCGAAATTATCACAGTCAAGATGCAAATATATATCAACCAATTGGCTAAGTAACGTCCGTGGTTGCCACCCATATTTATGTGGTTTTCTCACTCTCAGATTTTTGCACTTAGGTCCGCACAATTGTTGCAAATTGAAATTTAGCATGGCACACAATCGTCCGACTAATTCCGGTCGCAGGAACGGCTCCTTAATATCGACCGTTAGATAATGGAACATGGCAACTGTTTCCTTAGCTAGGGTAAGATAAGACCTAGCTTGTCTCTCGTCTGCTGCCAGCTGCCTCGTCCTTGATTGTTGTTGCTCTTGGGAGAGTGCGCTCCACGCGCTAGTGTCCGACATAAGTTCCTGCACTTCGTGTATGCGCTTCAGAGATTCTAAACTCTCGTCAAGTAGAAAGGTAGTGTCGTTCATCAACATGTTGATAAATTTGACAAATTGCTTGCCATTATTGCTTTCATTGACGATAGACGCTCGATGTACCGGACTATCCCACATTGATTTCAAGATTAGACTTATGTGATAACGTATTGAAAACTTGTCATAAAACTCGGAACTAGAGCCAGTGGTTTCAACGTCGGTATAAAACTTCATGAGATACGACGCCAAAAGTGTCTTGGATATAGGATGTGCCATAACTTTATCGTGGAGAGTCTCCGTTCTTCCCTGTGGAAAATATACAGTTATACTTTGAGACATATAGATTATATAGAAATAATTTAAATATTTTTCTCATAAAAAAAAAATTTACCTGAACACTAGGATTTATCACAAAGAGGACCTCAATGATTTTTGCGATTAAATACGGATTTCGTATACAATGTGGTGTACATACGACGACTAGTAGCCACGTGATAAGCGAATTATCCATATTACTTGCCACTACTCCAGGACAGAATCTATGCGTAGAATTATAGTTATTAGTAAGCATCATATTACACAAGTATATTATAACAATATGAGACCTTCTTCAACGGAGACTCTTATGGTTCAAAAATAATACATTCTTCAAGGGCGAATGAGAGTGCAGCGTTGCTCTTGATACGCAATAAATAATAACTCTTATTATTGAATTAAATTGAAAATATCATTTATTCAATAATGGATCATAATATATACGTTTCGACTCATATCGAGTCATCTTCAGTACATTTCCAAAATAAAATATATTAAAATAATATTTGTGAGACACATCACATCAAATTGGCAGAAAAGATGTTATAATCTCACAAATCACAGTAAATCTCAATCATTGAATAAAGTTGTAGAAATAAATAATTATAGAATATCAAAATTTTTTCCGTTTTAGTATAAAACGAACCTGACGATGTCCTGTCATTGTAACGACATTTTATACTAAAACGGAAAAAATTTTGATATTCTATAATTATTTATTTCTACAACTTTATTCAATGATTGAGATTTACTGTGATTTGTGAGATTATAACATCTTTTCTGCCAATTTGATGTGATGTGTCTCACAAATATTATTTTAATATATTTTATTTTGGAAATGTACTGAAGATGACTCGATATGAGTCGAAACGTATATATTATGATCCATTATTGAATAAATGATATTTTCAACACAAGTATAATTATAAGACTTAATAATATACGTATATAAGGAGAACTTACTGGAGGGTGAATAACAAGAATTCCGCTATATCCTCCACGTACCATTCCGGTAATGCGGTAAACTTGCATGTGACTTCCTGAGGAAGTGGAAGTTTAGGGAGAGGATTACCCGGAGCAGTCTGTGTCAGAAGACTCAACAAAACCTCGGCAACAGATATATAAAAGTGTAAGCATCTTCTTAAGAAGACAGGGTCTATCAGACCTGCATCCGCGCATGATTTGGATTTAATTAATCGCTTCAACTGCTGCTTCCATTGCTTAATCAAGTCTCTGTTATGTTCAGCGAAAGGGCTATCCTTCCACTGGGGTTCCGTGGCTTGCAGTTCGTCGAGCATCTTTTGTAAGTCGCGTAACGCTCGCAATTTTCTTTGATACTTTTGCAATGCCGGTAGTAGCGCGATATGATGGCAATGCAACGTCAAGAACCAACACTGAGTAGGAAATTTCGATTCCGTCCACTTATGCGTCTTCTCCAGATGTTTTTGCCATTCCGCGACTTCCTGGGAGGTAAGTTTCAGTTTTGTGTCGTTCTTTATCTCAACAAAGCTGGAGGGATGAAATGGATACAGAGGGTCTACGGTGTCCAGTTTGATTTTTACAGAGAGCATTTGCAAGACCGACAATAGATTCAACATAAATCCATCTCCGGCCAGAGAGAACTCCTCGGTTTGTATTTGCGCGCGTTTCTCATTGTGGCGCAATAGCGCGGCTAAGTACGTTAAAGTAGCATCGCGGCAATTGCTGTTTGCAAGTATCGCGTGAAACATCTTGTGCAACGAAGTTCTAGTACTTTCCAACTCTTGCTGCAAAGATAAATTCACCGATTTGTCCGTGACGGGATTTCCACTGAAAAATTTCTCAGCCACTTTCGGTTGTTCTTCAGCAAATACCGACACTGAAAGAAACGGTCCCAAAAACGAAGTCCTCGTAAGTTCTCTGCCGGCGGCTGATGTCATAATGTCGGGCAAGAATTGCACTTGATTTGTAATCAGACGGCATATCGGACGTATGTTGCCGCTTGGACCACAACGAATTTCTATCAGTTCCTCTAGCGCCTCGATCGGCCTTCTATGTGTATTGCCGACCAAGCTCGCCTGTTGCATTGAGAGATACAGGCCTTGTAAGACTGGGGTGAATATCTTATTGAACGTGCTTGAGTTTGTGTGTGTCTTAGCCACGAGTTCATGAAGGTAGCCTCGAGGCAAACTTTGCGACAGTATTGGATAGAGAAGGTAAGTGGTACACATAGGAATAACTGAAGCTTCACAAATGCCAACCAATCCTTGAAGAACAAGGCTGGAGTACTGAACACATTGCGTTTTCAAAACCGTCAGTACATCGGAAAGCGGAGGTATGCTGGATCGCTGAAACATATGCGTAAGCGTCAGTCAAAGAAATCAATAAGTTATTATTTAATTAAATCTCGTCTGGTCTTTAAAGTATATATACATGTACCTTTGGGTGATTTCTTTCCTCTATTGCGACTCTTGAATAACAGTTTAATAAGTAAGTTAAACTTTTTGGTTGTGACGATTTGCTGCCTATGGGTAATGGCATAGTCGGTAATTGATAAGACGGAAGAGCCACGACAGGACTTAGTAGAGGACTTGCTTGGTTATTTGGGCTGTCCTGTCTATCGGACGACACATCTACCGTGATGTCGTTCAAGAGATCTTCCCCTTTCGAGAACATGCACAAAATCTCCATCAAGGCCTGGTTGATAATTTCACTAAAATCCATTTGTCTCTGTTTCAGCGTGTACGCTGCTGTTTGTGGTAAGAATATAGTTCCTTCAATGGAGCTTTTCCACGATATGCGCAAGACGCGTGATATGACAACATGTATGTGATCCGTTGTAACTTCTGTGCTAGAACTCATCGTCTAAAACGCAACAGAGATAAAAATAATGAATAATCCATTTTTACCATATTAGAAGAAGAAGACAGATTCTTTTCGCTGTTTATTAATATACAGGTACGTTTGTTGTTCTTTTTCATTATAAAGAGGAGAGAGATACTTACACGCGATCGTGGTATTGAATCTTTCCTATCTGATTCATCGACCTCCATGTTTTCAATTCCTGAATTATCCATTTCAGTAATATTACATTGTTTATCGTTGCTCTCTTCTACTTCCATCGGTATCTCAGTACGCTGTAATTGTTGTTGAATAGACGGAGATATTGATCCTGGGAATGCTTTTGATAGCTCCGAAGTGCTCGGAGAAGTTGGAGCAATAGTATTAGATGAACTGGCAGTTGCATTATTATTATTGAAGCCCTCTAATCGGGCTAACCGCCTTCTTCTCATCTACAACAAAAGTGAGACAAAGGAGTTGTGTTGAGTTCTTTTTAGGACTACTCTGTTAAAGGCTGTTTATACCAGATTGAAATGTTTCTGTTACTCATAAGCTATTTTTATCCATTGCGACCAGTAATAAAGAGAACAAAAGCTACAAAATCCACATTATATTTTAAACAGCATAATAATATAGGAATGTCATTTCTTTGATATTATACTCTGAGAGATTTAAGACTCTTTGTACATAGGAGGCAGCAAATAAAGTGAAAATGTATCATGTACTGTATGTACATAAATATGGCATACTCAGGCCAGAGTTTAAAAAATTGAGTGGCTGAAATAACATCGATATCCTTACTTTGTCTCCTTCTATGCGCAACGTATGGTAAATCTCTCGTTGAATAAAGTATATATTATTATTTGGAGATATAAATCTCAGAGAATAAAATGGAAAGTCATGTACTTGTTGAGAAATAACGGTTTCATTACTTGCATAAATTTCTGCAGCTGTAATTTTGGTGGAAACAAAGCAGACAAAGGCAGTTAAGCAGACAAAAGAAAATGAGGAATAGAGTTCAATAGGCAGCAAATAGAATTCTATCATCGTGATTACAGAAAAGAGAGGAAATAGAGGAATTATTAAGTAGCAAACAATTACTTCGGCAGAGTTTTAGATCATTGAAATATTAAAATAAACACGTTGTGCAAAGTTATAATAAAATGCTGTGCAAAGTTTTACTTTATTAAAGCGCAAGGTTTGATTTGCATAGTATCCATTATATAAGTAGTTTCTTTGCGTGCGTACGAGTCACTTCGTTTTATACGCGTGGAGGGTTTTGACAAAGAAAATAATATATATAATCCAACAAGGAAAAATGCAATTTCGAAGAGGCCTCTCTTGAAATCGCGAGCGCGTCCAAACAATGGACCTGTCCTTCATGACTGGTCTCAAAATTTAAAGAAAGCTACACATATAAATTCAGGATTTTTCGAGGAAAGAGAGAAGTGGATGGGACGGATGGGAGAAGATCAGCTCCGACGAGAGAGATGTAGAAAAATGGATGTACGCGGGGGAACGAGGTAAACAACTAGCGAATAAACGATGTGCGGAGAGAGAATATTCCTCATACGATAGAATCTGCAATTAGACGAGAGAAGGAAAGGACGAAAAGTCGCGGGGAAGACGGGGTGGGTAAGGGGGTGAAGGGTTAGCACCCGCTTTCCTTCACTCACTTCTTCCTGGCTGAGCTCGCTCATGGCGATCGCTCTCTTTATATCCCGCCTGCTCTGTAAGCCCCGTTGCCCCGTGGTTTTACGTCCGGAACAGTCCGGAACTGCGGCACGTCTGCTGCTCCTCCTACGGCCAACTACGGCGGCCACGCGCGCCTCTTCCTCGCCGTCGCGTTCACGCGAATGCCACGCAAAGGGGGGTATATCGTGCTCACGACGCGACGGCACTCGTGGCCACTTGTGGGCCAAGATACGTCAATGTCAGAGATCTGGACAGTCACTCCACATCTGTTTGCGTTTGGACGTGGATACAGTGATCTTGCGTCGAGTCACGGCTCTCTGTGGTCACGGCCGCACAGTCGGTCGCTCTGGCTGCGTGGCTCTGCTGCTGCTGCTGCTGCTCCGTGTCGCCGTTGTTTCGACTCTTGAAAACAGCTGAGCAACCAACGCGCTCTCTAGTCTCTGCCTGCCTACTTCTTCCTTCCGTCCTTCTTCTCAGCCTTCTCTCCTTCGCCTGCCTTCGCCTGCCTTCGCCTCGCGTTCCATATCAGCTCTCCCTCCCTCTTTCTCTCCGTCGCATCACATATCGTCGTGCCCATTTCGAACGATTTATAATTCAGGACAAACATCGAATAATTTGACATAATAATAATTTAGCTTGCGTGTTACGCGCGGAAGGTATATATTATATAAATTTTCATTTTCGCGCGCGACGGAGAGAGGTCGAAATATATATTTCGCTACAGAGTTCGCGATTCAATTCGGCAGATGCTGCAAATATAAAATAAGTAAATAAGTGACCTATCAGTTCTCGCTGAGCGCGATATTCGTTTTGTTCCATTTCTATATATATAATTTGTGAGAAACATTCAAATCTTACCTCTTTTTTACATTGATGAAAATTGAATTTTCCCGCGCGCGATAAAGTAAATTTCTTTCGATTATCGACATCTTTTGAAATGCACGACTGCGACCGTATGAACAAAAATGAAGAGAGAGAGACGCAATCGATAAATGCCACAAATGGTATTTAAACGTGACATTTGTCAATACTAATTATATATTTTATTGTTTAACGAAAATTCTTTTTGACTCTTTAATCGTCCTTGACATCATTTTGTTTATTTATCAATGTATGAATATATTACCGAAATAATATGGAAAGCGCCAAAGCTGAATAAAATTACACGTATAATGCCATTAAGCGAAAATATATGGTAGATGCCAGTAATTCTTCTGGTACATTATACATATTTAGGTGTTGGAATTAATTCGTAGCGTTTTACAACAGATGGCACAAGCAGTACACTATTTCGTTGTTACCTATAATTCTTTATACATTGTAAACAGCTATCATAGGACGTCATTTGCCGTACATAACCTTTCTTGAAATCATAAATAACAACACTGTATAATTCATTGAATATGTCAAAATTTGTGCCAGATAAAGTGTTTTTGCGGGGAATTTTGCTTCATTACTTTAATATGAACAAAAGTGCAGCTGAAGCTCATCGTATTTTAGTGGATGTGTATAGTGAACATGCTCTGGCTGAGCAAACGTGTAGGAAGTGGTTTGCACGTTTTAGAGCTGGTGATTTCGACTTGGATGACAAGGAGCGACCTGGTCAGCCGAAAAAATTTGAAGATAACGATTTGCAGGCATTGCTCAATGAAAACTCATGTCAAACACTTAAAGAATTATCTACGTCATTGGAAGTTGACTTATCAACAATAGGAAAACGTCTTAAAAGTTTGGGCATGATCCAGAAGGAAGGACATTGGGTCCCATATGAATTGAAACCAAGGGATATTGAGAGACGTTTTCTCACGTGCGAACTGCTGCTTCAACGGCAGAAAAGAAAAGGTTTTTTGCATCGGATTGTTACCGGTGACGAAAAGTGGATCCATTATGACAATCCAAAGCGCAGAAAGTCATGGGTTAAGCCCGGCGAACCATCAACATCAGTGGCAAAGCCCAATATCCATGGCTCAAAGCTCCTGCTCTGTATTTGGTGGGATCAGAAGGGTGTCATATACTACGAACTGCTAAAACCGCATGAAACCGTTACTGGAGATCTCTACCGACGGCAACTGATGCGCTTGAGCCGTGCATTGAAGCAAAAACGGTCGGAATACTTCGAAAGACACGATAAAGTCATCTTGCTGCACGACAATGCTCGCCCACACGTTGCAAAACCGGTAAAAACATACCTGGAAACACTTAAATGGGAAGTGCTACCGCACCCGCTGTATTCTCCTGATATTGCACCTAACGACTACCACTTGTTTCGATCATTAGCTCATGGCTTGTGCGAGCAGAAGTTCACATCTTACGAAGATTGTACAAAATGGCTCGATTCCTGGATTTCATCTAAAGACGAACAATTCTTCCGACGCGGTATTCATTCACTGCCCGAAAGATGGTCAAAAGTAGTAGAAAGTGATGGGAAGTACTTTGATTAATGTATTTTTTAATGTTCATGTGAAATAAATAACATACTTTCATAATAAAAACGCTACGAATTAATTCCAACACCTATATAATCTCGCATTCTCGCCGCGCGGACGTTACATATATTTTTCTACGCACGTCTGAATTGATATCGGAACACAATTTTAGCTAAATATCTTTCCTTCTTTTCCCTTAACATTAAAAAAAAAAAAAACTAAAGAAAAATATGAACTTTGTACAAGAAATTTTAGACGTAAAATCTCCTTACGGACTCTCTTTTAATTAAAAAAAACTACGAATTTCTGTAATAGGAAAAACGAATTGAGAGTGCAGTTGTTGTTGATACCGATTGGTACGCAATTATTTGTGTACAAGAAGTTTAGCTGAGAAACAAAAATAGGCCCTTTATGTAACTTTACTGCAAACTGTCTATATAAAAAAGAACTGGATCGAGTTCTTGCCATATGTTGTTTCCCATAAGGGTCTATAAATTTATTATTCCCAAATTGTTCGAGCATCAGCAGTTCTGTATACATATTATACATATAACGTACCCAGATAGCAAAATGCTAGCAGTATGCCAGCAAACTTGATCATGACGTGTGCAGTAGATATCAAGCTGTTGCTTCCTCATTAATTTCTAACAGCTTTTAGTTTAAAGGAGCACAGGAAATAAGAGATGATGTATAAATGGAATATAAGGTCACCAAAATAAAAATATGCAAAGCAATAATTATAATTCGTCAATATATTAAAATAATTTTATAAGCGCGTGAGACAGCAAATGTACTAATTTATAAACGCTCGGTTACAATTACGTTGTAATACGGTCGCGATGTCGATTATTTGACTAGTCACGGAAATATATACTTCCTCGAGTTCGTAAGACAATTCTCCGAAAACGACCGTGTGTCTAAGCGTCAGCTGATCGACCGTATCTCACATATTTCGCTTGCTTTTCGACCGTTGCGTCTTTCTCGCAACTTCTATTGTCAGTAAATATTTTGCGTGTATTTATCTCAGTTGTCGTCGTTATTCTAAAAATAATAAATTAAATTTCAGTTCTCTTACTACTTGCTTTCCTTGTGAAACCCTTCACATACTAATCTAATAAAATCATACATCAATTCCAGAAACATAATTGTGCGAGTTTATATATTGATCTATTCTCTTTTTCTACCTGCGACTCGTCTTGCGACGAATGCAAAAACAGTCGCACGAAATTCGTTGCTTTAAAAGGCTCTATTTATACTTGCGTCTAACTGTCTCGCTTGTTGTGTATGTCAAGTATGTGTGTTCATGTATCCGTGTGTATTTCTTATCGACAACGATTTTAAATGTGGCAACGCAATCGCCACAAGCTTATCCTGCCAACTTAACACAACGATAGAAATAAACAATAAAAATCAATCATTATTTGCTATCACATCGTGACAGCGAAAACGCGGTAAAAATACAACATGATCTGACATAATCAAGTACTGACAGCCTGCCGTCACGCGGCGTGACGGCAGGCTGTGCTCGATTTTTGCTGTGTTTTTGCTATCAGTATTTAATTATGTCAGATCGTGCAGTGTTTTTGCCGCCTTTTTGCTATCATAATATGACAATAAGTGTGCCAGATTTTTATCAACATTTTGCTGATTTAACATGTAGTTTTATATCAAGTTTTCATCTATTTTTTATTAATTTATTTTGCCAGCATGTAATGCTCGAATTCTGCTTGCTTTATTTCAGTAATGTTTGATGAATTTTTCCAGAATTTTTGCTAGTGTATTATGACGCGGTCTGCTCTATTTTTGCTATATTTCTGTTAGCGCTATACTGAAACGGTAAACCGTGTTCGACTGTTGCTCGATTTTTGCCATTATAATAATGTAGCATAAATTAGCAATGCGTGCTTTTGGCAGGTTTGGCTATCTGGGTAAATGTGTACTATTATACTGGACACTGGAATGATCTCCGGTCTACTTTTTTTTCAGCTCAACCTGTTGCACGATTCATCTTTTTCTTCCCAATGTGAAAAGAAAACAGAAAGATGAACTATGTGCAACAAGTTCGATTTGAAAGCGTAGCATTCGAATCGAAGCGCGGCGCGAGGCAAGGTTAGATTAGGTTAGGTTAGGTTAGGGCTGCGCAGAATAAAAGGAACAGGGAATAAGAATTTCAACCTATCAGAAATCATGTATACTATGGAATACACACTGTTTATTCCACAGTATATGATTTCTGATAGGTTGAAATTTATTCTCTGTTCCTTTTATTCTGCGTAGCCCTTAGAAGGGGCAGTTGAGCGCTGCTGAACACAGTATAAGTAAGCTTACTTATACTGTGCTGCTGAATCAGCAGCAATTAGCATTTAGCATCAACAGTGATCAGTAGTTGTGCGAGCGAACGCATTTCTGCGTCCACGCATGTCAGTCGTCGGTCGCCGGCGGCTGCGAGCCTGTCGGTATCACCGCAGTCGTCCAACAAGTGTCAAAGTTGTTGCCGAGACATAGTAGGAGCGAAAACATCAGTCTCAACGTCTTCTGTCGCGATTCTTTATTACGTCTCTTCTACAGTAACCTTCATTATTACGAGCGGCACCCTGGCAAAATGGGCATCTGGGAAATAATCGATTTCGCATCGCTTGGTAAAAGACTCACTTTCGCAATAAAGTTTATAAAGCACGCTCCCTGAACCTCATCTCCTTAATTATCGCGATATATCGATTCCCGCTTTCTCTCGCTTTCCATATGTTTTCTTTACGACAATCGTAAAAACATTCTATTCCAAAATTCATTACAAGCACCGGAAATCTATGTATATAAGTTTGCGTTACATGCATTAGGCTGAGCGAATTTTGAAACACACGATAGCCAAAGAACTGTAGAACTGTATCCCATGTAGAATCGAAAGATCCTAATATTGTTATAATTTACGTGATTTATGCAACAGTGTTTGCATTTTGTATGTACATCACATATCAATTACATCGAAGGAGACAGAAATGATCAGGTGTTTCGACATATTATTTATATATTAAGAATTTATTTTGCGCCCGTCTCCTATTGCCCTTTATTCTCTCCAATTTATTTTGGAATTATAAGGAGTCTTGATTGATCTTGTTTTTATAAGATTAAGAATTTATATTGTAATAGTCGAACGCATGAAGCTGTAAAGTGTAAAGAAATTAATGAGATTTACAAATTTGAAAATTTTAAATTCAAAAGACATTGTGCAAAATTAAAATTAAACATCTTATTATCTCATAATATTTTCACTACAAGTCTAAAAACCATTGGCTTAAATACCGAGAAATCATTCGGGATAGTCCCTGGGAGATAAGTCAAATAATCAATCTAAGTTTCCTGATAACGAGACTTTTGTGCCGTATTTTCTCAACTATCAAATAAACAAGCTTATAAATTAAAACAGCGATACATGACGCACGCAATAATATTTATACCTTATTAATAATTGCATGTGGTTCTTAAACTCTGCGAAATTTCGCGCGCTATGGTGGCGACGAATCAAATCGAACGAGACGCGTACCGCGGAATAATTAATTGTATTATAGTTACAATGATAGCTGAAAAGTTGTATTAAGTAAAATTTGAAAACTTTTTTGAAGAAGGTATAAACAAAATTAATTAAAAAAAATTAAATTAAATTATATAAATACTGTTACATATATGTATATACATGTAACAGTATTTATATAATTTAATTTAATTTTTTTTAATTAATTTTGTTTATATCTTCAAAAAAGTTTAATCTCACTGTATAATCATATATAGATACATATATATGATTATACAGTGCCCGCCAAAAGTCCCGAGCCATCTGAATAATTTCTGAATGATTCTCGAACCATTGCAATTTATTTCGTGGTTTGTATGCGAATATAACATATAAGGTATGGAGGATATGGCTACGATAGTTTTTCAATGGCAAGAATTTAAAAATTATGAATGGAATTTTTAAACTCTTCCTACATCTAAAAACTATTATATATATTATAAATTCGACATTTTTGCATCAAATTTTTTGTCTTAAAATGTTACAAAGAATTCAGCTGTAAAATATCAATAGTTTTGCAACACCCTACACGCACGCACGCACGTGTATATATATTGGCCTGTATTCAGAACGCACTTACAACGATGTTAGCGTTCTAATATGCTATAGTTTACGTTACGCATACTATAGACTTTCAGAGATAAAAGCGCGCGTTTATCAATAAAAACACGTTCTGAATACGGACCATTATGTACAGGGTGTTCTATTTTGATGAAAGACAATCCACTCAAATATCTCAGAAGCACTGTGTTCGAGAAATATTTCAGACAAAAGTTTTTTTTACTTCGAAGAGGACATAATATGGATGGTATCATCGGTTTGATCCTGAGTGGCGTTGTTGAGGTGAGGACAAGGTCAAACCGATACCATCTTATATCCCCCTCCAAATAAAAAAAAACTTTTATCTAAAACATTTTTTGATTTAACACATATTTCAGATATACATATTTGAATGGATCCTTTAAAATGGGACATCCTATATACGTGCGTGTACCGTATATCATGGATGTATAAATATGATATATGGTAAATATAACAAATTGATATAAACACATCTATCTAAATTACATATACATTTCGAAGTTACATTTTACGCCTGGAACTTTTTACAGTTAAATTATTTTTAATTATACGTTTATATACAATTCTCTACTTCATATGATTACCACTAAGGATCATCTACAGATTTCTTACATGTCGCTAAACCGATGCCGGCTGATGGATGTACCGTTTTACAGACCGAGACATTCAGGAGCTGATTAAGGAGAGCGCGGTGGTGCGTGAGAACGCGTATTCGCCGTACAGTAAGTTCAAGGTCGGCGCCGCGGTACGATGCGTTGACGGTAGCATTTCACGGGGCTGTAACGTGGAGAATGCGTCCTATCCGGCGGGAGTGTGCGCCGAGGTCACGGCAATCGCACGGGCCGTGTCAGAAGGGAAGCGAAAGTTTACAGCGCTGGCCGTGGTCGCTGATCAGGAAAACACTTCGTTTACCACGCCGTGCGGAGTGTGCAGGCAGTTTATGTCCGAGTTCGACGTAAACATGGCCATCTACTTGACGAGATCCGATATGAAGAAAGTTCTACGGACTAAGGTGAACGAACTATTGCCGCTCTCGCCCTTCTGCGCAAACGATACGAAGACTTCATAATTTATCCTCATTGTTGAAGGCGATGTTGAAACAACACGGATGCTACAACGGAAGGCGTTGAATTTTTCTATGTCCATAGTAATTTATCCAGAACTGAACTGATTGTAAATCTTGTTATATATCATATAATTCGGCATATCAGTACGAGACTTTATTTCAATGAAATTAAGATTGTGACGATGCATAAGTATTATTTACAACAATGTGATATATGTATATGGAGTAATCATGTAAAGTGACAACTATATATATATATATATATACACATACGATACGATTATCATAAAATCTTGAACATAATTAATAATTTCATAAAAGTTATAAATGCAAAAGCAAGCGCTTGCACACTTACGAGGGTTCATCTTTGATGAGTAAAGTTTATCTCTCATCATTTACCAAAACGGACACCTGTAATGGTATGCAATAATGAGACCGATGTCTTTTTAATATAATTTATATACACACGTTTCTTGTAAAATCAGAATATAAACTCTAAATTGTTGACGTATCTATACATATAATATGAAAAAAGCTATATAGATTGTAAATGATAAAAATAAATAACTAATATATACAAAATTTTCTAATTATTACGTACCATCCAATATAACATTGGCAAAGATTTTCGTTATTTGTAGCTTGCTGGATCAACAGATCGACTTGCTGTCGGACGCTGAGGGTTTCTTCATGTGAAAAGTCACGCCCTGTTAATTTGTCTCTTACTCTCGTTATGATCGTCAAGGCTTTCTTGTTCAGCGCTTCTGGTTGATTATTATCAGCTGTGGATATTGTAAAAGCGAAGGTTGCAAATGTTAGTGATAAGAAAGTTAAAAATAATTTTTTTATATAAATTTAATGACCTTTTGATGACTTTATAAGTTTTTTAAATTTTGTATTTTAAGTTTGATATCAATTTATATTAATATCCTTTCACGCACGCACGCGTACACACACACACACACACATGCACGCACGCACGCACACACACACGCACACACACAAAATGATACGTAAGTGCTGGTTACATGGTGCGGTGTATAGTTTTATTAGTAAGATACACACACATGGGAGTCTCATTTTAAATGACGACTTCAAATTTCTCTTGAACAGTACATTTTAGAGAAAAGTGTTTCAGATAAAAGTTTTGCAATTTCGAGGGGAACATAAGATGGTATCATTGGTTTGACTTTGAGTGGCATTGTCAAGGTCAGGGCAAGGTTACTTTAAATTATTTTTTTTTAACTAAACCTCCTATTTTTCATTACATATATTCTTAAAGCTTCGAGATCTCTTAGAGATTAAACTTCGAGATCTTTTCAAAACACTATATAGAAGTACTTTTCGAGTTATAAAACTTGCAAATTACAGCATCGCCGATATTAGCATTATCTAAAATGTATTAGCGATGGTTGCCCGGTCGGAGTTACACCTCATTTGTGTTGTGTGGACCTATAGCATGGTGTTCTAGTTCCCAGATTTAAATCCAAAAAAAAAAAAATAAATAAAAGTCCAGATTTCTTTTTATGAGATTTTTTAAAAAATATGTACGCTGAAGTGTCTACAACAAGGAAAAATATGATTGAATGCATAATCATTGTTTGCCGGAACATTTCAAGAAATGTTCTTCTATCTACTGTTGACAGTTTTCAATGTCGAATTCAACTATGTATCGACAACAATAGAAGTGGTGTTCGAACATTTAAATCGATAAAGGAATTTTATTTTCATTAAAATGCGACCTGCAATATAACAATAAACAAAAATATCATTTAATTGAAAAATGTACACACATATACATGTATATTTACCAACCCCCACACATCTCTCCTACACACACAGAGCAGAGGGTTTGGAGTCGTAAAATACGGGGAAAATGACGAATCTTGGGATCCTTATTTCTGTGCGCACGCACGCACGCACGCACGCACGCACATAAAAGAGGTGTAAATCCGACCGGACAATCTCCATCTATGTGATACACTTTGGGTGCTAATGCCGGCGGTGTTGTAACTTGCAAGCCTTATAACTAGAAAAGTATTTAATGAAAATATTTTATTGTAGCTTGCACGGAATATAAGAAATTCGGGTTCGACTCCCGAAATAATATTTTTCGCAATATAAATAAATTATTTATAGATTTTTAATGTCATTCATAGATTTTAATATGTCATTCAATTAAGATCCAAGATGCTATGAGCATCAAAATTGTTAAATTGCTAGATAATTTAACTCGTGATATTATTGCGATAGTTTCGTAGAATGGTGTTTCAAGACCGAAAAATTATTCGGAGCGCCGTTTAAAAGACTACATACGTATATATAAATTTAAACAGAACTATAATAGCATCTAAGATCCAGTTCGACCGTTAAAGGCAATTTCTTATTGGTTGTGTTTCTCACATGTACGGTCCTTACAGATTTTTAATATGTCATTCAACATATTAAGATGCAATGTGCATCATTGTTAGTCAATTTAATTCGTGATAGTACTGCGGTAGTTCATTAGTTTGTATTGTAAGTCTGAAAAAAATTTCGGCGCGCATTTAGAGATCTACATACGTAGTATATAAATTCACACGAAAATTATATTAAGAAGCTTCCAAGATCTAGCTTGACCGTTAATGGCTTATTCTCATCGGTATTCAGTTTTATCATAGTATTTTAAAAAGCTCTCGAGATAAACTATAAGAATATGTAATAAAAAATGAGGGATTTCGTTAAAAAAAATTCAAAGTGACCTTGCCCTGACCTTGACAACACCACCCACGGTCAAGCCAATGATACCATTTTATGTTTCTCTCGCAGTCACAAAACTTTTGTCTGAAACGTTTTTCTCTAAAAATATACTGTTCAAGAAAATTTGAGGTCGTCATTTAAAATGGAACATCATACATGCATGCATGCATATATATACATAAGAACAGTTAATTTACAGGTAATGTGATATTAGTTATTTAAAAATGCAATTCCTTTACCTCCATTTTCAATGCTACACGGTACACCCTTCTTTGGTAATGTGGCGGTAAGAGAATCGAGCATATCGCCGTGTTCCTGACTGCTGCTGGCACTCATGCCTTGAGCGTCCGATCGTTTGCCCTTGGGCACCGTATTGTCCATCAATCTCCAATTCAAGAGAGGATCGTAAACAAATGCTTCCAGGACCGCCATTAAACTGTCCTTGTTTCGATGTAGCACGGACATCACAGACTCGCAAGTTCTTCTATATGTTCCCTCGATTCCAGTCACCTCCATCGCATTGATCAACATTCGAGTCAAACGGAACGGTATCTTTTCTGGGAACTTTTCACGTGTCATCGCCACCTCGAAGCAATCTCCGAAGTCGATGTGCAATATTTTACCACTGAGACGGTCGAGCATCAAGTTAGACGGATGACGATCACCAAGACCGAGTATATATCCCACCATAGACATCACGGCCAGAGAACGCGTATAGTTTGTTCTACGATCAAACCATACTTCGCTCGACGGTGACTTCAACCACAAAAGTCTTGCTAAGTCATCGCCGTGGGTATGCTCGAGTGCATGCTCGAACACTTCAACTTTTTGCATGAGTATAAGATGATCATAGTCAGGTGCCATCTAAAAAACAATAATATGGTTCAACCTGATGCCTTTTATACGATGTCGATTTGTAAGTGAAGAAATATACGAAGTGAATAATTTACCATTTTGGAAATCTACATCGTATTGATATAAAAAATAAGAAAACGCAGAAAATGTACATCACAAACGTATATTTTATAATACGATGTATGCTAAATAAATCTTTTAATATAAAAATTTATAAAGCCTCCTCACTCGTAACATTATCCTGTGCTCGATATTCAACAATATTTTCTTCTTCTCTCTGTAGTCTCTAATAAGCGTATGAAGCGTATCACAATGCGGTACCCAACCGATGAGACCACTGTTTGTGGATAATGGAATCACAGCGTATCTCTAAACATAAAGCCAAAATATTATTCACATATCTCTTCAACAATTATAATATTATAAACTCGTAAAATGCTCAAACTCTCTTACTTGAATAGTAAGATTTCTTCGGAAAGTATCTGGATCATGTAACAAGAGAGTGTTCACTAAACCGAATAATTGCATTACTCTTTCATCTTGTCTCAGATCCTCATGACCTTTCAATAGAAACATGTAATCCTTACCATTACTACCTACAAAATACATGTTAAAGCAAATTAATATTATCAGAATATTTTTTATAATCGAAATACTTGAATTTAATAGACTTTTAAAAAAAACTAACCTTTAATGCACAACTTTCTTGGTCTCTGTTTGCTAGTTATCACCTGCATAGAGCTATGAATACTTGCTATTCTCACGATAGGTTGGCCAGGGCTATAGCTTCCCGGAACAGCCAATTCCAAATCTCTGCAAATAAGTAATTTTGGACTAACATATTGTAATTCCAAACTAGTCAATTGCGGCAACTGTCGGGATATCCTCCGGAATACGTGATAATATAAATCCCAGGCTTGATTCAAATCTCTCACGTTCCGAGATGTTTTATATCTATTACACCATTCTTGTGCTTCTATTAAATCCCTTCCGTAAGCTTGATTGAAAGACGTCTCTTTTAGAGTTTGCGGCCCTCTTTCGAGCATGGCGTGTAAAGGCTCGAGAGTGTCAAACATGCCTCTAACATTCCTCTCTCCAAAATATAATCTACTAGCCTCTTCTAAGCCCTCGTGCCATAATTCGTGCCATAAAATCGCAACCCTGATTAGCTCATCGCTCGCCATCATGGCCTGTTGAACCAATGTCGGACTGTGCTCACACATGCTTTTCAGGATTTTGTTAGCTGCCGTCTTCCTCGCATGGCTAGCACTCTTCGAAGCTACTGTTAATGGATAAACCAAAGCCTGAGGATGTGTCTTTCCTATATCTATGAGAAGATGATGTATGCAACGACCGACTAGCGCTCTAGGAGTGTCGATTCTGGCTATGAGTTGTGGAATCACTTGCAGCCATGTATTTATCTCTATTAATCTTATGCCTTCGACCACAGCGTCATATACCTCTGGCCACTGACCATAATCGAACCAGAGTGTAAGCAGACGGAGGGTGTCTTGCAGAGAGTTGCCATCCGACAAGTTGATGGACCTGAAAAATCCCTCCACAGCTGGAACAGTAAACTGAGATATATATTGTGAGCTGGAGAGATTATTGCGCGCTCCGTTGCCTGGTGCAGTCTCCGTAGGAGCAGAATCACCTTGCTGATGCTTATAAAACAAAACGGTCTCGTAATTAGTGTAAGCGAAGGCGTGCCATGCTTTATACCATGTGGGATCATGCTCCGTTGCTGCGGCATAATAAGATAATACCGCAGGAATAGAATGTTCGTTTATACCCTGCAAGGATTCAAGCCATTCGCCGAGCTTAAGGTAACACCTGGCGAGCAATCTCTTTTTGCTTTCATATTGCTTCTCGTCCTCTTGATTAATTACTGCCGCTGTTGTTGGCTGCAAGTAGGTCTGTACAAATCGCTGCAGTTGATTGTAAGCCTCCTCGCGTTTATTTGCAACCCATAAGTGCTTGCAATAAGCGAAGGTCACCTGGGGATGAGTAGTCGGCAGCGGCTGATCTGGAGTCAAGGATGGATCTGTGCCCATCAGCATCACCAGCGTTTTGTGACACAGCATCAAACTACCACTCTTCCGACAGAGACTGGCATATTTAAGCCATGTGTACATATCGTCGTGCGGTGAGACTACCAACGTGTGTACCTGAATGATCTTCTGCCAGTCTTCTACTATCTTTTGTCCACCTTGAAGCCTCTCCCACCACATGACCTTGATGGCCGCTCTACGTTCAGGCACCAGCTTAAACTGGATCACTTCTTCTAACTCCGCCAATTTCTGCACTTCCACCATAGCGTTGTACGCCCGCTGATAGCTCTCACCAGCCATTGCAGTTAGTTCAGTATCTAACAGATCCCTGGCACTATCGATAAACTGATGCGCAACGTTGTATTGTTCGTCATGGATCGCCAATACCGCTCTGTAAAACGCTCCGTCTTGGGTGTCCTTCGGTATCAACGAAACATACTTCTGCATACTTTCCCATTGACTTAAACCCCAGGCCGCAGCCGCTGCCATTCTCGACATTCTTTGCTTGGTATCGTCGGTCTGATTCGTCCATTGTTTCGTAGCAACCTCATGCAATTGTCCCCATTCTCCAAGAGCCTCCAGACAACGCATCTCACCCAAAGTAGACTCCACGTCTGCGGAATCGATCTCCAGACGTTCTTGATACAGTTGCAACGCTTTATCCCAGTTGTGAAGCTTTTCGTACCAACGTATCTGGACTTTGAGATCTTGCTGGTTGTGATTCATCACATATTCTAACAGACCTTCGGCCGCTTCTTTCTGTTGAAGTTTGTTATTGATGGAAATCAGGGACTCGAATACGCTGCTGTTTCTGCTCTTGTGAAACTCGTCCTCCTTGTAGTGTAACGCCTTGGCATACGCACGACAATGCATTGCCGTATCTCCAAGAATCTTATTGTCTAATGGCAGGGGACCTTTGTCAATGTGTTCCATGAATTCTGCTAAGTTCAGAATAGTCTGCGTCACTTCGGTGGGCAGGTCGGGAACCATTAATGCTTGATGCAGAGTCTGTATTAATTCCGTCCGGTAGTTTTCAGCGAGTTCGGTCCAGCACGAGACGAAAGCCGCGTTGAATAGATCGCGTGGTAAAACAGCATAAGTTTGCGCCAGCGCCCAGCAAGATCTCAGAGCCGGTGACGGGGATTCTTTCAGCAGACCGATGGAGAAGCATCGCAGCCATTCGAGCCAATCATCCTTGGATACCCGTCGCGTCGCTGTCCATGCCTTCTGCAAATTCGAAGCCGATACGTTCAGTTTCTTAATCGTTTCCGAAGGCGTTAAAGAGAACTCGCGATTCTTATTGCGCGAGTGTCGCATTCTCATCAGTAAGAAATCTTCGCCGTCTGCCGCGGTCGAGTCTGTGAGTATCTTGTCTACTAGAACGTCGTATCGTGAATTGACTATCTTATGCTTCGTCATAACTTTCTGGACTAACACGATAAAAATCTGATACTTCTTACCCAACTGCATCACGACAGCGCAAAGTGTGTCCATGGCTGTGCTCCTTAATTCTGGACACTGGTCCAATGTACGTACCAGAGTATGAACGATTCGCGACGCAAAATCTGTAAAATCCAATGTGTCCGCAAGAAGATCGACCGTTTCGAGAGCAACCTTATTCACGGCTATTGGACAGTCATTTGCGTAAAACAATTTAACAATCGGTGGAAGTACAAGGTGTAGATAATTGTCCAGATTGTTCCCGAATGTCTGTAGAGCCAGAAGCAGCTTCACCGTCACTGCGCGATCCTTGCTGCTATCGTGGGTCAGTACTCTGAGTATCGGCGGCATCAGCTGCGGTAAATAGATCTTGAATTCCGCGCCTAGAGCCATTGCAATCTGCTCGACCAAAAGAATCAACGTGCTCTGTAACGGGCTATTCACGGTCCAGAATTCTTTGATCAAGATGAATATGTCGTCCAAATAGTTGCGTATGTGTTGCTTTACAATGGCGATGAGAACAGCCAACTGTTGGAATAGGAACTCTCGGAAATTCATGTCCGCCGTGTGCACGACATTGAGGAAGCTCGGCATGACTTGAGAGATATATGGTACGCATTTAATTCCAAGACTCTTAAATATAAAGGTCACCGCTTGCACCACCATGGTGTGATGCTGAGACAAGGTCGGCTCGCGAATAATTCGCATAAGCGTCGTAATGGCGATCGCAGGATAAAATTCTTCCAATGTGGACGGTGACATGTTCACCAGCATCTCACTGGTTGTCAAATCCTGAGCGTTCTCCACGTCATTCTTGGTATCTGCCATTGAGGTGAGTGTGTCCAGCTGACAGTCGATTTGTCCGAGATTCATCTTATGTTTATAAGGATCCAATGCACCCAACTGTCCGAGCACTCTAATGGCCTCTCTCCTGATGATCGGTTGCTGTTCGGTTTTCAGGAAATTAATAAGAACGTCCAGCAAGGACGGATATTGTATGTATGGTTTTACCACGTGACCTGTGCTACCGACTAATTGACCAAATACCCACAATGCTACTCCTCTTTTCTCAGGTGAACTGGCGTCTACCAACATTTCCAGTAATATCGATGAAAGCTCAGACATCCACTGTTGCATCTCGGCACCATTTACCTCTGCCAAATCACCAATCGCGCGCAGAACGGCCAGCACAACACCGGGGTTAGGATCGGATTCCTTTAACTTTGGCACAAGAACTTTCAAAATTGGCTCCATGTATGGTCGAACAAGTCTTGGTGCAGTCACTACGAGATGATCCAACATTCGAGCGGCTTGTTCCTTATTACGACCCATTCCTGAATGCTCCAATTCCGTTAGAAATTGCACTAAAGTTTTCCTTAACGATGGCATAACGTAAGCAGGATTCAGTGTGCTAAGTCGGCCAACAGTACGAACCGCTAGTTCTCTTATTTCAAACATCTCGTCATTCATGGCGATAAACAACGCAGACAAATTCTCTGCTTGCGCTAATTGAACATCGAAAGAATCATCCAACGATGCCAACACCCACAGACGGACGTCGGGATCCGTGTCGGTTATTCCTACTACCAGCAATTTACCCAAAACAGTCGAAACAGTAGTGGTTACTGTGGGACCAGACTGATTCAATGTTAATCTCAACAACCTAGAGCACGTCTTCACAGCTTCTAATCGGACTTCCGCTTGTTCCGACGTTAAAAAGTGATCCGCGCATCTCTTGACAAACTGCAACAATGGATTATTGTCAAAGTTAAAGGTACCTAATGTTTTTAATGCAAGTACTGTCGAAGAAACGTCATCCGCCGTGGAACTAGGACTAGTTGCTGTCCACGGTGCACCGGGATGTCTCAATGGTTTTTGCATTAAAACTTGTGACAGCATTCGCAAGAGACCTTGAGATATATCCACCTGCAGAGAGGGAATGCTGTGCGCCAGCTCCCTGAGAGCCGTGGTCAAGATCGGGCTCAATCCAGTTTGAAACATAGGTTCCAACAAGTCCCTCACGTCGGAAGCTATGACCTGTTTGACCGCGTGGCTGAGTAAGGTAATGCACACAAACACTGCCGGCTCTAAGGAAGTGCGCTTCTTGCTCGGGGTTTCCTTAGATGGTAACAAACTTTTAATCACTTCCATGATTTTTGGTAGGTACGGATTTATCGCATCCTCCACTGCCACAGCTATAAAGCCGATCGATGTAAAAGCAGCGTAGCGATCTTTCTCACGACTGCGTAGGATTAGTAAAAGGTATGCCAAAGATTCTTTTAAATGATCCCTTATAAATTTCTCCTTGTTAAATGCGGCGAGTCTCGGCAACAACATCATGAGGGCGTGTTGAATATGCGGATTCCTAGATATCTTTTGATTCATAACGTCATTATAAATATCGTCCAGCCTATCCTGCATCAAGCATCTACAAACAGTTGACTCGTGTGCCGGATACAATGTGTGTTCGGACGCGGTTGCGTTCTGGGTAGATCCGGCCCATTTGGATCCTATCGTTGTCTTCAAGCATGGCATCAACGAAAGTATATCATTTTCATTTTGCGTAGAACCGTTTAATCTTTCCATCAGAGCCTCATAGTTCCTTTCCCATTGAACATTGCTGCATCTTAGCAGTTCGTTTAATACTAACAGCGACCCATGTATCCTGTCGTCTTTGTTAATGCCCTTTTCTTTTGAATGAACCTCCTCGAATCCATCGATCACTTCGTCGTAGCACTGTTTGTACCATTGTGACTTATGCATTTGCTTCACAGTTTCCCTTTGAGCCGTAACTACCAGAGCTGCTCTCAAAGCCTCTACCGCACCTTCTCTTATAGCTGGTTTAGGATCATGTATAGCGTTGAAAATCAACTCAAAAAATGGTGTAACTTGTTGGAAAAAATATGTTGGCACAGAGACAGCAAGTTCTCTCAGCACGAGTACAGCAGCATGTTTCCTGCCCTCGTGTCTGTCCGTACCAAGCCATTCAAAGGCACGTTTTACTTCAAACTCGACATATTCGGCTGTATAAGTACCAGAAACTAGCGCCAACTTCCCAACAGTCTTTGCAGCTAATTGCATGACGCCTACATCGTTGGAAGGTATTAAATTTCTAAGATAGTTAGCAAATCGTACTGTTCGTGTATTAAAATTACCTACGTCTGCTCCTATAAGGCAAACTATGGCTAATATACCACCTTTCTTCTCATTAATATCCGAGGCAGATACCATTTCAAATATGTGATGATTGAATTCATCCATAAATGCTGTGATTTCTTCCTGCGACGCCTCTCGCAGTTCCCTCTTGACATACAAACACAGATCGCGTGCTGCCTTGTTACGTGCATCGTCATTTCTTGACTTGAGTCGCTGGACAAACTGCTGCATCAGTATATTTGACATTGTTTTAGCATTAGATGTATAAATCAAAGTGTAAAACATAACAGTCTAGATTCCATCCAATTCCTGAGTTGTTGCTCTAAAAAAAAACATTTTTATTATCCCACATTAGATTTCTACATCACATGTAGCTATGTGATATTGAAATCAATTCATTTATTACATTATGTTTGCACCTGCTTGACTCTAGATGGACCTTTTTTTGCGGCACAGCATTATTACTAGCGATATAAAAATTTCCATTTATGCGATGAAAAATAAGTAGAATCATTTACAAAGATGTAATTCAATATACAGGCGGTAATACATCCGATCTCCGGTATTTTCCACATCATGTTTCTTACTTGTCATCCATTAACAACCAAATTGTTCGTTGCCTTGGTATGTAACTTGTACGTCGATTTTCTTACGTCCTACGACAATTATTACATTAAAAATATCAAGAATACAAATATTTCTTACAAACGCGCGAAGATTATAACCTTAAAAGCGAAGATACATACTGATTGAATTGGCGCCACCGTCGTAAACTGAATGAACTTTTAATTTATAGTACGAAAAGTCTGTTCTTCACTGCATGCCGGCCTTTTTTCTGTAAAGGCCACAGCACACACTTTTGCATGACGCATAAGAGAATCAACCAATCATAATCCTTCTTTTCCTCCCACTTTACGGAAGAGAAGTATTTTGATTGGTTGATTCGCTTATGCATTATGCATGACGCATAAAGCCTATAGGCCGTAAAGGAGCCTATCGATTCTGTATCTTAAAACAAGATGAAAATTGCTTTAAAAGTGAGTGAATATACTAGAACATTTATAATTTCATTGGTCAATACCTAGTAAATTTGCCCACTTTTGTAATTTTCACTTTGTTTCGAGATACAGAAGCGACCCCAAGAGCGGCGCAGCGGTGAAGCGGCGAGCGATAGCCAATGAGAGCCATCCTTTTGGGTAAAAGCATGGCCCTCATTGGCTTTCGCTCGCCGCTTCACCGCTGTGCCGCTCTGGTCTGTAGGCTCCTTAAAGCGGGGAGCACAGACTTTTGCATAACGCATAAAGCATGTGCATAAGGAATTTCATTGGTCCATTTTCTTATGCATGAGTCAATGGACCAATCAAATTCTTTATGTATATGGTTTATGCGTTATGCAAAAGTCTGTGCTCCCCGCTTTACACACACTTTTGCATGACGCATAATGCATGATGCATATGAGAATCAACCAATCAAAATGCTTCTCTTCTGCGAAGTGGGAGGAAAAGAAGGACTCTGACTGGTTGATTCTCTTAGCCCGGATCCTCATACGGGCAACAGCGCTTTGACACCAAACGCTGATTGATGAAAAACCGGTGGCGAGGGTAAAATTTACCTTCATAACTCGTTTTTCACCAATCAGCGTCCGGTGTCAAAGCGCTGTTGTCCGTATGAGGATCCGGGCTTATGCGTCATGCATTATGCGTCATGTAAAAGTGTGTGCTGCGGCATTATCGCACATGAAATGCATAATAGAGCATGAGCATAACATAAAACTGTTGGACAAATAAGTATCCAGCATAAAGTTGCCAAATTAATTAAGATAATTATCTTAATGAGCATCTTAAGATGCTCATTGGTCTAGCGGTCTTATGTTATGTTTATGCACTGTTAGGCCGATATTTCATGTGTCGTACGACAAGGCTTTTCAAGCACGTTGATTGGCTATAGGACAGAGATCCGAGAATCTCTCTGTTGTACAGCCAATAAACAGGCTTGAAAAGCCTTGTAGTACGACACATAATATCGACCTTATGCATTTCATGTGTTTTGGGCTTAAGAATTTCAACCTATCAGAAATCATGTACTATGGAATACACACTGTTTATTCCACAGTATATGATTTCTGATAGGTTGAAATTCTTATTCCCTGTTCCTTTTATTCTGCGCAGCCCTAAAGCTATATCCACACAAATTTGCATAACCGCATAAACGTATGCATAATGAAAATTATCCAATCACATTTTACGTACATCTTTATAAGGGAAATGCGATTGGATAATTTTCTTTGTGCATGCGTTTATGCAACTATACAAGTTGTGTGGATATAGCTTAACCGCACCGCGTGACCCGCGCGACACATGCGCATACATCAGCACGCACATACATATTTTGACAGGTTAACCTAATTATTTTAATTAACAGTATTAAAACTATTAAATACTTGTTTCCATAGTCTTGTTTTCATACTGATATTATTCCATTTTTATAAAATTGGAAAAATTGTTCTTTATCCTTTTCTATTTGTTTAAAGATTTTTGTTAACAATTATAATGTAAACTTGGAGAGAAAAAGGCACTAGGAGTCCGGCATGGATAATTTTACGCAAATGCTAATATATAATAAACAAAACGTTCTTTATTATAATAAATGTGCTTACATGTTTCGGCTTAACACACATACATACAAAAAATTTTCACTTTTCACGTTTTCGCTCTAGGGAAAAAGTTACATAATCGATATTGCTTTAGTTTACGCAGTTTAACGGAAATGGAACCAAAAGTGAACTTATCTATAATCTCGCAATTACTCTTGATATGGAGGATTTCAACCGGTTGAAACTCGCCATGTTGCGAGATTATGGATAAGTTATTTCCATTTCCGTTAAATTACGTACCTAATTAAACGTACCTACTAAATTAAAATAAAAAATTACCTAAAGCAATATCCTGATTGGTTCATCGGCTTAAGTTACGTCTTACGGTTATAGAATTTTGTATGAGGCAGCCCTACCCCGGATCTACAATAGATGTTTTAAGCCTTAAGCCGTAAGAAATTAACTAATTACAGTCGAATTCGAGGAGAATAATCGATTATGATTCGTCCATTTCTTATGGCTTAAGGTTTAAAACTCTATTGTAGATCCGGAGTTTACACAATCAAGAAACAAGATATATATATATATAAGAATTTCAACCTATTTTAACCTATTTCGATCTATTTCACCTTTTCCTATTTCAACCTATTCCATAGTGCATCGTTTTTGATTGAAATTCTTATTCTTTCTCTGTATCTGTTTTTATTTTGCAGCGCTTACGTCTTTAATATTGGGATGCGAGAATAATCGATGAGATAAAAGAATTGCACTTATTGTAAAAATATCTATTGACGCTATTTTTATGATACATCAAAGTTTGTTAATCTCTTAATGTTACACGAACACGTGGAAAATGTTTGAAATTGATTATCAATAGAAATAAGATTGACCTCAATAAAAATAAAAGATTGTGTAACTGTTGGCGCGAATAATGTATAGACTACTTGTATAAAGCACAATTATAATATATTTCACAAATTGTTTAAACATTCATACATAATTATACAAATTTTTGCATATGACGAAAAGGCGATTGAATGAAAAATTATGGGGGACAAGGGTACATTATAAAAACAATGTATTTCAAAGATAAAAAAAAACGTTAAGACATCGAAGAACGATCGTGAATTATAGTATCGAAATTAGAGGCATATAATGCTACAACGGCAAAGATTTACGAATTTAACAGTTACCAGAGGCCTGATTCTTCATTGACAGTTCAAGAGCCTTTTTAAATCTCTCGAGTCTCTGAATTTTCTATCGTGCTGCACAATTTTGGAATGTCAAGGATACTTTCTAATGCATCTTATTGAGGTGTAATAAATAAATCGTTTCTTCTAGCGACAAGGCATGACATGTTTGGATAACTGTAAGTTTGAAGGTGGACAGGTCAGATAGTCAGATAATTATCCGCATTTTCAGTTTTCCCAAGTTTTTTTTATCACCGAGAATTTAAAAAATTGAAAAAAAAATTTGAAATTAAAAAATGATAAGTCATTGCATTGTCTGCTACAGTAATTGAAAATTACTGTTTTCATTTTCGTGTAAATCGCGCTGGGTTGAAGCAAGAGCAATTTTTGAAAATGGACAGAGCAACATTCTCTCGTCTATCGATCACATTTTTATCATATTTATATAATGTAATGTACAATATGCAGCTACACATTATGATAATCGGTATGTCCAACGCATTCAAAACTGGCAACATTGTGGGTACTTTACCTTTTCCTTTTTTGTGTGTGTATGCGTGTATGTATGTATGTATGTATGTGTGTGTGCGCGCGCGTTCGCGCGCGTTAAATTTTCTCATCAAAGAGGTATCATTTAAATTACTCATTAATCAATGTGTATCGTATGTTTCAAAGTTAGGTACTTTAATATAATTACTTCCAAGTTTTCCACATGTTGTGGCATCTCTGTGTAAAAAGTGTAACTATATAATGCTAATATAATAATAATAATAATAATTATAATTATAATAATAAGTTGCGCAAGGCAATAGTCCGATGTGGCCGTTCGATCGTGTGCCTGCGGCCGCTTCCCGCTCCTCTCTCCCCATAAAAAAAAAACCTACTGACACACAGTCAACTCCCAGGAATAACCTCTTCTACAGTTTCCACTCAAAATTGCGGAGAGCTTGCGACGTTTGTATAGGTTGTTTCTTTTGTTGTCCATTTGTAGTAGAAGGGGGGAGGAGGCGTGCAGCTGTTTTTGTTGATGTTAATAGCAACTGAATGTTGACAGAATAATTGTCCCAATTAGCGGTTGGCATTTTTCAGCTGATTGGAAAGCCAGTCGAGACCTTCGTAAAGTCCGTCTCCACTAGTGGCACACGTTGCCTGGATGTACCAATTGCGATTACGTAGAGAATGTAATCCCAACTTATCGGTGATCTCTGCTGCGTTCATTGCATTTGGTAGGTCCTGAAATGTTATTCATTTAATAATGTCCTTTGCTCAAATCACTCCTATGTAAATCCAACGAAAGACTACTTACTTGTTTGTTAGCAAATATGAGAAGTACTGCATCTCTAAGTTCATCTTCTGCTAGCATTCTCATTAACTCTTCACGCGCTTCACCAATACGTTCCCTATCATTACTATCAACGACGAATATCAATCCCTGTAAATTAAGTATGAAGAAAGATGTAATAATGGAATAAGATATCAATTTAATGAAAATATATTAACAATTTACAATTAATAAAGTACATACTTGTGTATTCTGAAAATAATGTCGCCATAGAGGTCTTATTTTGTCTTGACCGCCTACATCCCATACAGTGAAACTTATATTTTTATACTCGACCGTTTCTACATTGAAACCTAAAAAATATATTTACATATGTGTGATATTACTATCCTTGAAATATTTATAAATTATTATAGTATTTATAAGGCTTACAAGTAAACACCACAGCCATATTGAATTGTAACATCAGAAACAACAAAGAGAGGACACATAAGTTTTTATTACATACTATTTGTAAAATAAAGACAATTTGTTCATTATTTTACTTTATCCAAATTGTTTTTATTTACAAATTATACATAATAAAAATTTATCCATGTCATTTCTTACTTTTAACATTATGATTCAATATGACTGTGGTAACTACTGAGGAGCTTTAATATGAAAGTTTTACAATATATACAAAAATGAATTATTATTATCATCAAATAAATTGATAAATTGTAATTGTTTATAGGAATGAAACGTACAAAGTATTATTTCTTATTTGATAATACGTTCTTTAAATTACAGGGATAATATGAAAGAAACAGTTATGTACTTACCTATAGTGGGAATTGTAGTAACAATTTCCCCTAATTTTAATTTGTACAGAATTGTGGTTTTACCCGCTGCATCCAGACCCACCATCAAAATCCTCATTTCTTTTTTGCCAAAGAGGCCTTTGAATAACGTTGCAAACATATTCCCCATGATTGGAACTTGTATGTCAGGACCTGAACATATGCACATACATATATACACATATGTATATATACATATGTGTGCATGCATATCCATTACATTGGAATGCAATAAAAAAAGTTATAATATTCTTATAAAATATATGTATAAAGTATGTACATCAAATCTTTAGGTATGTACATACATACATATACACGCACACATATGTTTCATTTTAACTTATAGAAAGATATTATCATTCTATGTAACAATGATAGATTACAGCTCCTGTGTATTTCTAATTACACCCCTAATTACACCCTTAATTTCACAATTTGAAACTATGAATGTACATTAAATTTAATACTAAGCAATATGAAATGAAAAGTATAACATACATATCCCTATATTTCTCAACTATGTAACACAACATATATTAAGATGCATATACAATTTTTAAGTGACAGAATTGTAACAATTACGTAAGAAGAAATTGGGTTGATGTGTTGAAATAAATGCTGAATACACATGTAGTACGAAAACTATTTATGTATGTATATAAATATCACGTAACATTTGCAACTGAGAACATTCAAATGTGTATAGAATGTAAAGATGTTGATTCTTTGATCTTTTACACATATAATTGAGACAGGAGTAAATTTACTTGGGAAAATTTTGTAAGCAACATTAGACAAAAAAACCATTTGCATATGAGCAAAAGAGAAACTCGACATCGATTACAGCGACACGAAATGTTAAGCATGTTTCTTGAAACGTAGCATTTGTGATCACTGACCACTTTGAGCGTCAATCTCCAGTCTTTGTACATACATACATACATACATACATATATCATACATACATAAACCATCATATATACATTATACATACATACATATATATATACATCATACATACATCATACATACACGATGATTCCAAAATCTCGCAACTAACCTGACCGTATTAAAAAGCAATCATGAGTCACACATACATAGGACAATCGACAATACTCTCGATACGGCGGGAATTGTTGTAGGAGGTACGTTCGATATCTTCTCGTCAAGAGGAAAAAAAAAAAAAACGAATGATGAAAGGGCATGCACGAAACTGTTTCATCCTACGGTTCGCGCTATCGATTCTCATCCTTAATAAAATCGTTGTGATTATCGGACCAGCATACCCTCGGGGATCGCTATTGACTGCTATCGACTGCTATTGACTGCTATGCCGAGACGATCTCTATGCGGTTTTCGTACTAGTTAAGGGTGTTGGTATTATTTAAAACGCCAGCAGAGCCGAAAGCGTGAAACCGCGCGAACAAAATAAAGGATATCGTGCGGTTCGCGAAGGCACTGCTGGGCACTGCTGAGCACTGCGTACACCCGGTGTTGCCTGTCACCTTCGACCTACTCCCCAGAGAATCGTCAAAGGTTCCGCGCTCAAAGATCCATTACCCAGAGATTTGTTCTTACTATTAAGTTCTCTGGTGACGCCACGTTGTACATGTGTACCACTTACGTTACTTACGTTTCAGTAAAAAAGATTATTTTCACGAGAAACGATAAAACATAAAACCAACACTCCCGAAAAGTACCGTATGTCAAAATGGCGGACGTGGAAAGGATTTGTACCTTATGCCACGTATAGGGTCATCGAATTGTTACGATTGGCTCGACGTAAGTCACGTGATGATAGAAATTAACAACATGGTACCCGAGTACGCAATAATAACACGAGATGGTGCTTCGTAATCCGTAAACGTCGAGTTTAGTGCCCCTAGCCAAGAATTCCTAGAAGTAAATGCGGGGATCATAGAGTTCCTATAATTTAATAATGGCCACACTCATAATGCATGACGCATAAAAGATCCAACCAATCAAAATGCTTCTCTTCTGTAAAGTAGGAGGAAAAGAAGAATTATGATTTGTAGATTCTAAAGCCTTGTGTTCACGATGCTAGAAATCGGTCCAAGATCTCGGATGAAGAAAGAATTAACAAATCGCATTTGAACAATTTGGTCACATGACCAATGTAATTGGTCAATTTTTCCTTCCATCCGAGATCTCGGACCGATTTCTAGTATCGTGGACACAAGGCTTAATTCTCTGTCTGAACTGGTGCAGACAGTGCAGGCAAAAAGAACAAGCCTCTAGTCTAACTCTAACCTAACCTTGGTTGCCTGGCCAAAACTGGAGAAGAATAATTGAGTAGTAATGTATGAGTATCTCTGAATCGAGTTATTTGGAGTTATTTCTTGATTATTTTAACAGAGCGAAACATGTGTAGCGAGAGAAAGGAACGACCAATATGTATAAATGCTACAATTTATTTAATACCTCTAATTATATAATAGTATACTTTTAGTTACGTATCTATCAATAATCTATCGACAATAGTTTATAAAGGTTAAGAAAATAAAGATTTGATTATAAATTTGATCGCGGTACAATGTTTTTTTTTTATATTTCTAAATTAGTCCACCATTAAGTAACAAATTTCCGAGTATCGCTTTTACTTCGTGATAATCTGGAATATGAATTGTGACAAAAATATATATATAATAAAGTGTTGTGTAATTATTTCACACAGTATCATGCAATACTTACAAATCCACCGAATAACATTGGTTATTTTCCGCATTTACATGGAACTAAACTAACTTGAATCTTGCATTGTGTGTGACATATAACGGGACAATCTCTACATTTCAGTACTACCTTTCCAAATCTGATTCTGACATCAAACGAAAAAAACATAATACAATTTGATCTGAATCGTTATAATTATTGTATATATTCTCATAATACAACTGTCGCACTAATTATTTTCATAGTAGATATTACCTCTTACCACATGGAGTACATGTTTCCGGTTTAATAATGATCTTGGAAATGAAGCTATGACTGACAGAAAATGTTTCGATGTTCGATGATAATTTAGTATCAATATTTTCTTCGTTCAATGCAATTTGGATTTTGACATTTTTGACAGGTATAGAGCATGCACTATCTTTTGCCTTAATTTTCGCCATTACTCCATCCGGTGAATTAAATTCGACAATTTTATCTAACGTGCTACACTGTTTATTCATAGAATGTTCACCACTAGGTTTATACTCTTTCCATTTTTTCTCTCTCTGAATTTTTATTAAAGTATCGGTATCTAAATCATCTTCTGATTTGGATAAACAATTTAAGTCACTTAATATTGAACCTGTAGAATCCGTTTCCACTATTGTAGTCAAACTAAAAAATCATCGAGTTATAACGCGTAATAAATAGAATACTTTACACTAATTCTGTACCTACTGTCTGTCGATCCATTTGTCTTGGACGGTTAAATTATTACATTTAAATTCGATTTCAGGTTCGTTAAGAAATTGTAGTTTCTTTTTTATATCTTCGTTCAAGTTTACTTCTCTATCATGAAATAACACCTCTTTAACCATGTTGATTTGACTCTCCTTTCAAATACAAATATATTTGATTTAATACTAAATTATAAATGTTTTATAATTTAGTTACATATTTTTTAAAACAATTTTTTACATACAAGAGATCTTAGAAAGAAAATTAATACTAGAACAAATTTTACCAAAAAGTTTTTATAATGCTCAATTGTTCGACGTTTATGTTTTTCCTCTTCTAAATTTCTCCTAGCATGACATAATTTTTGATGAAGATTCGCAGTTTGTCGATGAATTCGATCTAAATCTAGACAAAGTTGTTGGTATTCTTCCAAAGGTAGACATTTTATTTGTGGCATGTTGCTCAAAACTGTATTTAAAAAACACACATATATATATATATATATCACACACAAACACATACATAAGCATTGTATTAATTTGTTGTATGTGTCTGTACGTAAAAGAAAAATAAATTTATTTCAATACATTTTGTCCAGATAACTTTAATTATATGTTTATTGTTGTTGTTAATTATATGCAATAGATAAGACATTTATTTTTCCATTTTTAAATGATCACCATAGTAAACACTAACAATGGCATATCACACAGAATATTATAATTTTCTCTCTCATTTAACAAATGAATATAATGTAATACTTTTAACAGTTACAATGTTGAATAAGATCAATTTTGAAAATGATATAGAATTATAATATTCATAT